CCCCCCCCCCCGCGTCAACTGTGAGGAATTTCAAGCTTAATAAACCCTTTACACGCTCCATTACCGCTTTAATTGACGTCATGTTTATATCATTTTCACATTTTTTTTACTAGAAAATGATTTATTTTCCAGCAAAAATAATTCATATAATAATGTATAAAAATCCGTATCCTATATACTGCAAAAATCCGGTGAAATAGCAAAAAATCCACAGAATATATCCTAGGAGAAAACCTGCCAGGGAGTCAGGAAGCGAAGTAGCGAGGTATTATTGTACTTAAATACAAACATCAACATAAGCCATCTCCAGGTATGATTTATGTAACATCTACACATTCAATCTGAAGAATTGAAATGGTGATGATGGTGCGGTTTTTTAGCATGTCAGGCTGGTGTGTAGGCAAATAATAGAAATGAAGAATTTGGCTGGAGCATGACACCATAACAAACAGAATGAACATTGCATTGGACAAAACTGTCAATAATTTCATGAGCTAAAACCATAGTCACAACAGCTTTAGACCGATGATTCTCTAAGACATGGCGTTGGTATGTTACTAACAGTTGCGGCCGGCGTAGGTTTTCTGCCAATGGTCCCCCATATTCCTCGCGGAGGCCGGAAGCGCGGCCTGGATTCTGGGTTTGATGGCAGGGTGCGGGACCCGGAGGAAAAAGTGGATTGGTCACTGGTGCGACGTCCATGTTGTTCATAGGTGACTATTGATCTTTCCCTGTTTGATATACGAGTGTTGGCAAAGTATTCACTGGTGGAAAATGGTAGAGATGTGATGGGCGAGTGACCGTACGTTCGTTCCTCTTTCAAAGTGTGAGGTGGGGTTGGAGAAGGTGGAGGTTGAACGTCTATCTGAATGTTTTTAATCATATGAGGTAACGTGATGGAACGAGGCATTGCATCTGAATCAAGTCTGCCTCTCTCTAAGAAGTCTCCCGTTCGTCCAATTGTGGCGTATTTGAAAGGGGACATGTCTCCATTAAAGTTGTGATCTGAATAAAAGGAAGTGTAAAAGGCATAAGCCAATGTCAGTCCATTACAGCAACCACTTTAGTAGAATTTTTTTTTTTTTAAATATATCTACATCAAAATGAAGTGATCTACATCAAAATGAAGTGATCTACATCAAAATGAAGTGATCTACATCAAAATGAAGTGATCTACATCAAAATGAAGTGATCTACATCAAAATGAAGTGATCTACATCAAAATGAAGTGATCTACATCAAAATGAAGTGATCTACATCAAAATGAAGTGATCTACATCAAAATGAAGTGATCTACATCAAATTAAGTGATCTACATCAAAATGAAAAGATCTACATCAAAATGAAGTGATCTACATCAAAATGAAAAGATCTACATCAAAATGGAGTCATCTACATCAAAATGAAGTGATCTACATCAAAATGAAGTGACTTTCAAGAAGACTTGCAGTTGCTAGATCAATTAGACACAAACAATGTGTGTCAATAAAACAATAGATGAGAAGCTTAAATTATGATCAAACAAAATAAAAATTCAAATGTCTTCATAAGTACAACAAAAAACAATGTGATTATGAATTAAATTTACCTGATATTTGTAGATCCTAGCTATTTCTAAAAATAGATTTAAAAAACAAGAATGGGCACAAGTCCATACGAAAACAAAGGACAGGAAAATGGACACGAAGTGGGTAAAAGTACACAATAAAAACGCAAGCATTGCAGCGCTGCAGTGCTAACAGGGTTGAGAAGTCTTTGGTGTTTCTGTGTGTGCCATCAAAGCAGCCGTCATGAAAGAAAATCTTTTTAACTGTGCGTACATCAAATTAGTACAAATTCTCCGTCAAGCTGGTCATTGCAAACATTGGCCTTACTTAAGACTTGAGTAAATCAATAAGAAGAAAATTGTTGAGATTAATAAATTATTTCTCCTTCAACAACCAAAGCCCTATGAAAAATTCCTAAATGAATGGACAGCCAGACTTCACACTGCAACTGGTGGCTACAAGTGAATTGACAGCCAGACTTCACACAGCAACTGGTGGCTACAAGTGAACTCAACTGACAGTAATACTTCACACAGCAACTGGTGGCTTCAAGTGAATTGACAAATAAACCACTCGAGAATTCCACCTCTTCACTCACACCTCCTGCTACACATCAAAACATCACATGACAATCCTCTTCACTCACACCTCCTGCTACACATAAAAACATCACAATGACAATAATTCTTTCACTCACCTGTTGGGCTGGTAATCTCATCAGTTAACTTGTACTTTTCTTTGTTGTACGGCCGCATATCATCCCTGCCACCAAAGTGCTGTTGAGCGAGTCTATGGAACTGCTCCGGTCTCCACGGTGGTTTAGGCTGTCGCTTTTCAAGGACTGGCTCATAATCCCCGTCCAGGTGTGAGTATCCCGCAGAGGAAGTTGTAGGGGGTCTATATTTAAAGAAAGCTATTTCCTGTCTGGAGGTAAGCAATTCCTCGTTAAATTCTGTGTCAAATTTTGAAGAAAAACCATTAGTCGATGAATTTTTAGTGTAGTTTGAGCTCTGTATGTTATTTTTAAATGGCCCAAGCTTTGTGGAGCCTGTACGGGCTAAGTTTGGCGGCTCTTCTTTTATTGTGCCGATTTCTCCCAAAGATTTTTCAAAGCTTTCCTGCTTCATGAGTTGAGCAAGCTTTCTCCTTCCTTCCTCGGAGCCCCTTGAATTGTCATAATATCTGTCCCAAGAAATATCTTGCGCTAGGTTCACCTGTAGAAAACTTGGGGATTCGTAAGATGATGATATTTGTCTACTTTCTGAAGGATAACTCTTGTTTTCTGGATATCTGGCGTCCGAGTCAAAGTCTCGAGGGCCAATGTTTCTAGACATATTCATAGGCAATGTACTAGATTTAGTTGGCTCATGCCTAATCACCGTCACCTTGGGTTTTTGTTTGTGTTTTTCAGAATCCCGTCTTCGGAAGCCATTGGTTACTTCTCCTTTAGCACTGGTTTTATTCAGGTCTGTCAGGCTGCTATCGTCCTTGACACCTTTCCATTTAGTCTCTTTTATTTTTGTGGCCGTGGATGAACTCGGCCCTGCCGACATCTCTCTCCTGGAGTAAGGCTCGGAGGTCTGTCGCTGCACCGGTCGAGATATCCTGGAGAAACCTTCCCTCTGGGGCGACGGAGGGCTGCCCGGGCTGGAGTCTTCATAAAAGTCATTGTCATCTGCGTAGGGCATCAGGGGTCGTCTTGAAAGCTGTGGTGTCAATGGTCGAGACAAACTTCGACGCTGAGCTGCGTTAGGATTTTCCTTGCCCTGTTTATGTGCTGATGGAGAGGCAGATCTTGACCGAGACCGGTGTGGGGGATAGGAGTCATCTTCTTGAGGTGCATCACTAAAAGATGAGGTCACCTCTTCCAGGCCAGGGGCAAGATTTAATGAGAACACCCAGTGGTCACCTGTGAACAACCTCTGATTGATGTCCTTGGAAAGACTGCGGCGCTGATAAAATAACAAATAGGCCTCTTTTGTTGCGATACCCCCTTCCAAAACCGTTACTTTGTTATCATTGAACTCACGCCACTTTCCATCGACGGGGCTGCGACAAAATGCAATGTAGTGACCTCCAAACATGTTGCCATGATGGTTGCTCACACCTATGAGATCATAGGTGTAATCATCCTTCTTGAGGTGGTAACTTTGGTCCAAACGGTGTGACAGATGGCCAGACATGTCAAGATTGTCAATAGGGAATTCCACAAGTGTGTTCAGTTTGCTGCGGCGTGAGCCAGTCTGTAAACAAAATTTCAATTTACATTAATACCCCAAATGAGCTGGTGTTACCAGACACCCCAAATGAGCTGGTCAAACACCCCAAATGAGCTGGTGTTACCAGACACCCCAAATGAGCTGGTCAGACACCCCAAATGAGCTGGTGTAACCAGACACCCCAAGTGAGCTGGTCAGACACCCCAAATGAGCTGGTGTAACCAGACACCCCAAATGAGCTGGTGTAACCAGACACCCCAAATGAGCTGATCAGACACCCCAAATGAGCTGGTGCAACCAAACACCCCAAATGAGCTGGTCAGACACCCAAAATGAGCTGGTCAGACAATCCAAATGAGCTGGTCAAACACCCCAAATGAGGTGGTGTAACCAGACACCCCAAATGAGCTGGTCAAACACTCCAAATGAGCTGGTGCAACCAGACACCCTAAATGAGCTGGTCAAACACCCCAAATGAGCTGGTGCAACCAGACACCCTAAATGAGCTGGTCAGACACCCCAAATGAGCTGGTCAAACACCACAAATGAAGTGGTGTAACCAGACACCCGACATGAGCTGGTCAAACACCCCAAATGAGCTGGTCAGAGACCCCAAATGAGCTGGTCAGACACCCCAAATGAGCCGGTCAAACACCCCAAATCAGGAGGTGTCACCAGACACACACCCCAGATGAGCTGGCCAAACACCACAAATGAAGTGGTGTAACCAGACACCCGACCTGAGCTGGTCAAACACCCCAAATGAGCTGGTCAGAGACCCCAAATGAGCTGGTCAGACACCCCAAATGAGCTGGTCAAACACCCCAAATGAGGTGGTGTAACCAGACACCCCAAATAAGATGGTGCAACTAGACAATCCAAATGAGCCGGTCAGACACCCCAAATGAGCAGGTGTAACCAGACACACCAAATGAGCTGGTGTAACCAGACTCACCAAATGAGCTGGTGTAACCTGACTTTTAGATGGGAAATTTTATTTGTGCGGTCCAATACGGAAGGTGCCGCAACAACATATTCAGCGGTGCACATCCATTTAAGGCAGTGAACCATGTGACGAACTGTTTTAACATGTCACTAAGTAAATGATAACCTCTATTAATAAACTCTTTTGATGGTGGCGTGTTGTCATTTAGGAACGTCAAGACATTCAATGATTATGCATTGTGCGAAAACTAATTATTTAAAATGAAGTAGGCTCTTCGCAGAAAAAAATATTATGTTTAAATTATGTCTTTTGTGTATAAAACATAATAGATACTTTTAAAAAAGCACTATCTCTCTAATGGTGATCCGCAGAGCCTTATGTTGCCCATCCACACAACATGAATATTTATGGGCCAATAAAAAGAAAAAGTATTTAATACATCTGGCACCGGTACCTGATGTAATTTCAAAACTTTTCCACCGGTCCGCCAAGCTTAGACGTTTGGAAAACACAGCTTTTAAGTGCTAACTATCGACCTGTTTAAACCTACCGACCTGTTTAAATCTCTTCAGGTGCAGGACAAGTATATCTGGCAATGACCAGAGTCCCAGAGTTTTGATGGTGCCTTGTTGCTGTTGTTTACAGTGTGGACACAACCATGCGTCATCTCCGGTCAGCTGTGATTAATGAGTAACAAAGTAAAACTAAAAATATGACAATGGCAGCTTTGGGCGTGCAAGGGAAAGTCTTGCGGCAGAAATACTATCTACATAATTGGGTGGGTTCTTTCTTCTTAGGAAATAAGCGGGTTTTCTTTTTAAGCTGGGTGGGAGGGGGGGGTGGTGTTTGTTTGTGTGTGTTGTTGTTTTTCCTTTTTTCCAGGAATTTGCCAGCAATGTTTGTGTTTACATTTATGGGGCAACATTTGTGTTTACATTTATAGGGAAACATTTGTGTTTACATTTATGGGCAACATTTGTGTTTACATTGATGGACAACACTTGTGTTTACATTGATGGGCAACATTTGTGTTTACATTGATGGACAACACTTGTGTTTACATTTATGGGCAACATTTGTGTTTACATTGATGGACAACACTTGTGTTTACATTGATGGACAACACTTGTGTTTACATTGATGGGCAACATTTGTGTTTACATTTAAGGGAAACATTTATGGGCAATGTTTGTGTTTACATTTATGGGCAACATTTGTGTTTACATTTATAGGGCAACATTTGTGTTTACATTGATGGGCAATATTGGTGTTTACATTGATGGGCAATGTTTGTGTTTACATTTATAGGGCAACATTTGCGTTTACATTAATTGGCAATGTTTGTGTTTACATTGATGCGCAATGTTTTTGTTTACATTGATGGGAAACATTTGTGTTTACATTGATGGGAAATGTTTGTGTTTACATTGATGGGCAATGTTTGTGTTTACATTTATGGGCAGCATTTGTGTTTACATTTATGGGAAATGTTTGTGTTTACATTGATGGGCAACATTTGTGTTTACATTTAAGGGAAACATTTATGGGCAATGTTTGTGTTTACATTTATGGGCAACATTTTTGTTTACATTTATAGGGCAACATTTGTGTTTACATTGATGGGGCAACATTTGTGCTTACATTTATGGGCAAAATTTGTGTTTACATTGATGGGCAATATTGGTGTTTACATTGATGGGCAATGTTTGTGTTTACATTTATAGGGCAACATTTGTGTTTACATTAATTGGCAATGTTTGTGTTTACATTGATGTGCAATGTTTTTGTTTACATTGATGGGCAACATTTGTGTTTACATTGATGGGCAATGTTTGTGTTTACATTGATGGGAAATGTTTGTGTTTACATTGATCGGCAATGTTTGTGTTTACATTTATGGGCAATGTTTGTGTTTACATTTATGGGCAATGTTTGTGTTTACATTGATGGGCAGCATTTGTGTTTACATTGATGGGCAATGTTTGTGTTTACATTGATGGGCAATGTTTGTGTTTACATTGATGGGCAGCATTTGTGTTTACATTGATGGGCAATGTTTGTGTTTACATTGATGGGCAATGTTTGTGTTTACATTTATGGGCAGCATTTGTGTTTACATTGATGGGCAGCATTTGTGTTTACATTGATGGGCAATGTTTGTGTTTACATTGATGGGCAATGTTTGCGTTTACATTGATGGGCAATGTTTGTGTTTACATTTATGGGCAATGTTTGTGTTTACATTGATGGGCAATGTTTGTGTTTACATTGATGGGCAGCATTTGTGTTTACATTTATGGGCAATGTTTGTGTTTACATTGATGGGCAATGTTTGTGTTTACATTTATGGGCAATGTTTGTGTTTAGATTTATGGGTGATGTTTGTGTTTACCCTTTCTTCTTGAGTGTAGAGCTTGAAACACTCCTCAAGCGAGACTTTCCCTTGCCCCGGTGGGTTACTTTGTACTTGAATCACAGAAGCATGGGTTTCAATGTGTTCCTTGTCATCCTTGACAATTCTGTAGGAATACACAAACAACAAACAACTGAAATGAGGAATCTTGGTTGTCCAAATAACTGGTTCAAATTTCACTCAAGATTTTGTAGTAGCTCTAGAGACCAGCACACAACAAACAAAACACTTGCACAATAAGAATATAATTGGAACGATAATAATTTGAGAACCATTGTGTAAACTTGTTTAATCTGCTATATTTTTTGAAAACTCCGCTACAGGATTAGGTGGATATGTAAAATGAATTGGAACAGGCCCGTAACTGCTCAATAACTGCTCAATAACTGCTCAATAACTGCTCAATAACTGCTCAATAACTGCTCAATAACTGCTCAATAACTGCTCAATAACTGCTCAATAACTGCTCAATAACTGCTCAATAACTGCTCAATAACTGCTCAATAACTGCTCAATAACTGCTCAATAACTGCTCAATAACTGCTCAATAACTGCTCAATAACTGCTCAATAACTGCTCAAGTGATAAACTCATCTTTTCCACTCAGTGTCTTGCAAACCTTTTACTGAAAGCCCATAATGCTTTAAGATATACAAATTCAAATCTAAACAGATCTTACGTCTTTTTGGCCTTGGGATCCCACTCAGCTATAATCTTTAAATGTGGAGGTCCAAAGTCTTCATCAAGAGTGCTATAGGCCCTAATAAAATAAAAGTATGCAAATTTATTAAGGTTTAATACAAACAAGTATGAATTTTTTTTTAAACTTTGCCTTAATTTCACAAAATACAAGATGGCAACTGATGCAACGCTGAAATGAGTTCAGTGGTGGAATCAGGCTTCAATCTGGTATGGCCGTCAGAAAAGTTTAACTACAATATTCTTATTGTATTGTTACATGCCGTTATATAGTTTTGAAAATTTAATTTACTTTAATATTTGTCTCTTTACATGAAAGATATGTAACAGAGAATTGGACCAAAAATTACACAAAGAAAAACGATATCGAGGCTAGCGATACTAAAAATATTCAATTTAATTTTAGGATTAAATTTATATAAAAAATACAAAATAGAAATAAAACTATATCAACTTACAGCACAGCAAGTGAAAAACTACAATCTTCGAAGGATACAAAGTTTAATACAAACACACATATATTAATACGAACACACACTGAGTACAATCTTGTAAATATATTACCTCTCATAAATATTTAGGAAAAATAGCAAAAATCTCTCTTTCTGCTAGGAAAGCTGCCTGCTCATTTATAGGGAGAAAGCTGGAACCCTCCAGAAATATATTCTACAAATTGCTTCACATAATAGCATCTTTTAGAACAAATTTATTTCACTCATTTCCTTTTTTTTTAACCTGATTGCATTCTCTCCCCCTTATTACCAGTCGAAATCACATAATCTATAGTTGATAATCCCAAGTTGGCCAATCAGGGTCAACAGGCGTGAAAGTAGCCATTTAAAGTAAGCCTTTAGAGTTCATGAACACGATTTCCCAACAGTAGAGAGCATAATAAATCTGCGGCAATGTGGTGAGGACCACTATGACTTTCAAATTCTGAGAAACATGACTGCTCAAACCTCGGGATTGC